CCATAAAATATCGCATCATCCTTGGAAACAAATAAACCGTTGATTAGTTACAAACTGCCAAAATAAGCTTCGTGAGCATTATAATAAAAACGTGTTTAAAAATGAATTTTTCTAAAGAAGAAATGGTGAATATGGTGTTCGTTCTGGGCGAAGCCCAAAGAAATAGTTTCCTAGCATCTCGCCTTTATAAGCAACGGTACCCTAATATGCGATATCCAAGGCCGGAAACATTTTCCACACTACGAGACCATTTTGAATCAAGTATTGGAGCAGTGGGCTATAGTAAAAAATGTATAATTAATCCAAATGTCACCAATGAGGCGAATCAGTTAGAGGTTCTATTAAAGTTGCAGGAAAATCCGGATTTAACTGTACCGCAAATTGGAGCAGAAACTGATATATGCAGAGCTTCTGTCCAAAGGGTTATTCAGAAGCATAGGTACAACGCCTCCGTCCTCAGGATTTTGCAGCTCGAATGGAGTTTAGTAGAAAAATACTAAATAAAGAGAGTGAGTACTTTCTTGGATAAGGTTCTTTTTAGCGATGAGGCAAGTTTTAACAGTATAGGTGTTGTCAACAGGTATAACATGCACTATCATGCGACGGAAAATCCTTACTGGGTTAAGCAAATGGATTTCCAAAATAAATGGAGCTTGAATGTTTGGGGAGGAGTTATTTTTAGACAAGTAATCGGGCCTTTCTTTCTCGACAACAGATTAACAGGTACAGAATACTTGAATTTTTTGACCGAGAATTTGCCTTTGCTTTTGGAGGATGTCAACCTGCAAACTCGGATTCACATATACTTCCAACATGACGGCGCATTATCATAATCGTGTGCGTAACTGTTTGGACACCTGGAGTAACAATCGTTGGATCGGTCGTGATGGGCCTATATCTTGACCTCCTAGATCACCAGACATGACACCGATGGACTTCTTTCTATGGGGCTACGTTAAGCAAGAGATTTCTAGATGTCCACTATCTACCCCGGAAAAGATGAAGGAAAAGATTAATGATGCTTTTCTGAACATAAGGGAACACATGCTGAGGGATGTGCAACGGTCATTTATCCACAGACTATGGCTGTGTATTCAACATGGTGGAAATATTTTCGAGCAGTTTTTGTAGATTAGGTCTTGAGTAGTGATAGTTGTTTATGTTGTTGTTATATGTAGTTGTTTTTCTCTATTACGCTATTACTGTTTGTCTTTTGTTTCCACGGATGATGTAACTTTTTTCCTTAATTTTGGTGTGTTGTTCTATTAAAAGCTTAATAACTCAAAATCTAGTGATTTTATCTGAATCAATGCTCATACCAAAAAAAGCTCATAAAAAACTGAATCCAAACTTGCACAAATATACAGGGTGATGCAACTGAAATTTTTGGGAAAAAGTACAATGCGCGTTTTTGACCACCCTGTATGAGCAAAAATGGAAATTCGAAAAAGTAACAAATAAAATGAAAGCTGAGGGATAGTAAGTTTTTTTATACAAAATTCAGTACTCCAAATTCCAAAACGGCGGATTGAGGGGTTGCTCAAGTTGACGGTGTTTCTGGACAAAATACCTTACATCTCAGTACTTCTTTTGAATTGCAATAAAATTTGATGCATTCCGTTTAAAAAATCACAACTGTGATATGTAGGTCAAAATTGGGACACCCTGTATAATTGCCAATATTTTAGAAATGCGCCCTCAAATGTCATGTATAATATGCAATAAATAGATTTCCACAAAATGTATTTGTTTATGAGTAATATTCCGTCCACACATGGATGGGCCATTCCTGCATACGTGGTGCGGGTGTACGAGTTCCGATTATTTTCAAAAGAACTAAGCGCGAAAATAAAGTTTTTTAATTGCTTATCAAAATTGTGACTTGAACAGGTTATGAAGTACAAATACAAGACTCAGTTGCAGGGTTAAGGTATGCGTGTTTTTTTTTTCACTTTTAAATAACTCTACCTCATCTGCAGGAAAATCTCTTGCAAAAACATAATCCTTAATTCAGTTGGAAATTATTAAGTTTGTGTTTGCCTGTCCCGCTGCTACCCATTATCTGATTAAATCGACTGATGTTCTTGGATTTGGAATTTTGAAATTCTAATTAATGCATCCTGCGATGGGGCAATATTTGTCTGAACCATTCCGAAAATAATGTATTCATAATTAATGGATTATAACGTATAAGTGAGAGTACGTTAGCACCTTAACTAGAAGTACTTGCTTGTATCGCGTCCTCGAAGAGGTCGATGTTTGAGATTTGTGAAATTCGTAGCACCTTTGAAGTGTTGAAACGCCATCTTGTCAGGCAGGTATGACGCGGAACAACAGAAAATGCAAGAAATATGAAAGGAGAAGTGTTTCCTGCTGCTGATAGCGCCATCTAGAGTTAGGTGTATGGGACTTTTATACATATGTCCATTTCTGCCCATTTAACCCTTTTCCCCATGTACGAGCCCCTTCCCACTTCAATTGGCCCACTTCAAGATTTGTACCAAAATATGCCTTTATAAACTAAACATGACGAAACTATTTACTTCTAAAACAATTTATTTTCTCAAAAACATTTCAGATACACTCTAGTCGTAAAAAACACATATTTGAAATCACTTATTAGAACTAATAGAACATCTGAACAAATAAACAATGTGAGAATAAATGCGCGAAGTTAACAAAGCAACAATTGAAATATTACCATTGGGTAACATCACCTTTATTTTTTGTTATGGCTGAAATTCTTTGGGGCATAGTGTTAACCACGTTTTGGCAAAAATTTGGTGTAAAACAATCCCATATTTCTTGAAGCTTTTGTCTCAGTTCGGTGATTGTACGAGAAGGATGTTGTCGTAGAACCATTTTCATCTCGTGCCACAAAGTTTCAATAGGTGACAGATCTGGACTGCTAGAAACCCATTTCAAAAGTAGTACATTATTTTCTTCCATCCATTTTGTAGCCTTTTTTGAGGTATGGCACGCTGCACCATCTTGCTGAAACACAAAATACTGGCCGGATGTCAAACATTCTTCCATCACTGGTAAAAGCGCTTCTTCTAAAATTGCCAAATATTTGTTTGTATCCACATTTCCATGAATAAAATGAAGTTTTCCTACTCCTTTTGATGACATAGTGCCCCAGACCATAATGGATGCTGGAAATTTCACTTGTCTCTTCAGACAGTCAACATGGAATGCTTAATTTTTTTTTTGCGAATAACTCTACTGCGACTGTCACCAGCACAAACTTCGAATCGGGCCTCATCACTCCATTGTATTGCACACTATTGTTGAGGTGTCCATTGTATATGTTCTTTAGCCCATCTAAGCCGATTTTTCTTTTGCAGTGGAGTTAATAGTGGCTATTCTTTGGCCTATAAATAAGTTGTGCAACTTTAGGGTTTTTACTTCACTTTTTTATCAGAAAACTTACCTTGCAAGTGCTAAATCCTAGTTTGTGGGCCTCTCTATGAGTTGTGGATCTCGAAATTATCCTTCTAACAGCATCACTCCACAGAGCACTTAATTGTAAATAATCGGCACGCCTGTTTTTCACGTTTATTCTTCTTAATGCTCTACGGTCGGCATTTGTGATATTACTTTTTTTCACATATCGTGGCTTAATATTAACTGAACCAGTTACGTTATATCTTCTAACAATATTTCTCACACTGTACCGCGATAAGTCTAACAAAGTTGCAATTTCTGAGTTTGATTTCCCAGAATTAAAACATTTAATTATCAGTAACCGAATTTTCTCACTCATAACCTTTCCTCTACCCATTTTGAAAACCTTAACTACCCAAAACTATTTTAAACGTATTCTGACAGCTGTGATTAATAAAAACAATTGTCATAGTTTATATTTTCACGGCCAAAGACTCATTTTGCATTGAAATGAAAATAGGTTGATATGCTGTAATTGCAACATGTGTTATTTTTATGCTGCAAATTTGATTAGGGAGTGATAAAGTTGGTGTTTTCTACTATATATTATCAAAATATTCATTGCTAATATTTTAAACCTATAACACCCTGCTACATTTTTATTATTTGTGTTTGATAAGAAAAAAACTAAGATTTCAATAGTTGGGCCAACTGAAGTGGGAAGGGGCTCGTATGTAGTAGCTGAGTATGTTGACTAAGCGTCATGATCTTTGCATCTGATATGATGTTTTGATAATATATTGTGGTTCTTTTTTTTAATATCTTTATTACTTTTAGATTTTTTCTTTGTGTGGTGGTCAGGCAAAACAAGTTCCGACTAACAACTCGGGGATTTGTGGCTCAATCTGTCTTGAGTCACTGGCGCTCTTCTCTCCGCTTTATTGAGCTAGGACCTAAATTTGCATGCCACTTGACAGCTGTTTTGCTTTGACTGATCGTTAGATTTCATTTATAGTAATTTATTAATTCATTAATTAATTTAACTTAAAAAGGAAATAGGAACCACCCCACCATTACCTCTTCTTATTTATAAAAAAAAGATGACACTATTGGAGGCTACTTATAGCTTGTATAGCCTCAGCTGCAATTCAATACTATAGGTCGTTGTGCCTTTCCTTGATAGGTGGTACTAACAGCTAGTAAGCGCGAAATGGGTTAGCGAGTACTTAGTACACAAGTTGACTCTAATAACATTATGTCGACCTTTTTATGTAATACCACTGCGGTTGTTGAAGTTATTCGGAATATAATTATATCCTGCAACCCCAAAAGACGGTCGAGTTAATAAGTATCCACTAGCCGTATCCGTATTCGTAGCAGTAGAAATGGAACTCTGTACGTGCTCGAACCCTCATACCGCTATATAGCCCATTAAATTTAAATTGTATTACTCGTCTCTGACTATTGCAGATAACCCGATTTTTACGCCGGCTCATAATACTCTCCATCGCTGGAGCCGCGGAGAAAAATGAAATTTTATTCTGTGATCGTGGCAGTAGCGGTGCATATGTAGTCGTCGTCAATTTATAAAAATGAAATCTATAAAGAGCATCGCGCAAACTTTATTCTGATAAAAACGAATAGCTACAGTATCATATATTCGATGAGTTCTCCTAATTTAAGTATGACTAGCATAGTGTAATCAAAAACAACTGTTGCAGACACTTATTTGATGAATCACTACTATTTTCATAAAGATAGTTCTAAAACCTCTAAGTTGGTACCTAGCTGATTAACTTAGCAAACAGCGTTTTTGTTGCAATAATTCTGATTTGGTAAGAACTGTAAACACAGCATCTATCATCTGGTACTTCCTTGGGATTGCTATGGTTAGCTTAAAAACATTCGCGCCGCTGAAAGGCAATTGAACTATTCTTCGTAATATATTACGCTTATCACTAAACTTTGTTCTTGCTTCTGGTGAGTAGCTACAAAATACTATCATCAAGCGGTCTTTTTATAACCTAGAAAACATGGAACAACCTTCCATATCCACGGTTTTTAATAGCGTTTTCAATTGATAAAACTGGTACATGCTTCGTGTTTGAAACACTCGTTCATCCTGAAATTTGTCCTCAATATGGTCATCTGTAAATAAAAATAAATGTTGAATTCCATTATTTTCTTACGGTGTTATGGTATGTTCCGAAGAGAGATTGAAGCCAGGAGAATATTGGCTGTGATAATGATTATATGCAAAGTCACAAATAGAAGCTGCAGAATATGACACTGCTGCCAGCTGACGACACTCGCAGGAGCTCTTTCAGGTCGTGAAATATTTTGTCACTGGTTATGTCAAAAGAACATAAAAAATGCGGCGCTATTATTTAATACAGGTGGTTCGCTAAAAAATTATGGTAATGACGGAATTTGTCCTCAATATTGCAATACCGCCGGTACAACAATCCGGCAAGAGTTCTACTTCGGCGAATCGGCCTTTCTAAGAATGCACTGGAAAGAACGCGAATAACGTCTGCAGATATAAAAAGGTCACAGTCACGGAAGTACGAGTACAGTCGAACGCGATTCGTGAGACGTACGCATGTTGAACATGAAATTAAATAAATATAATGATGTTCTGTAAATTTAAGATGGATGGTTGGTTAAAAATGGACAGTTTTGTGAACTGTGCCTAAAATCCAGATGAGCAATCAACTACTGTTGCTTTTTCGGTTCCCGATTTGCGTCTAACACAGGGTGAGGATATTGAAAGTTATAGTGAGGAACCTCCTCGCCAAAATAAAAGTAATGAGAAAATAGACAAGCATGGCGGAAAAAAAGGAAAAAACGAAAATACGACACGGACTATTTGCAAATGGGTTTTTATTCCACCGGGGAAGAATCAGAACCTAAACTGCTTTGTGTAATTTGTAATAAGTTCTGGCCAACAGTAGTTTAAAACCATCGCTTTTTCGTCTGCACCTTGAGACAAGTCATCCGGATTACAGGGGTAAACCTATTGAATATTTTAAAAGGAAATTGGAAGGTAATAAGAATTGTAGTGTTTATTCTTTCCTGTCGGCTTTCAACGCAGATAGTGAATTGGCTCTTGAAGCATGATTTCGAGTTACATAGTTACAGAATCGCAAGATCTGGAAAAGCTTATACAGTGGCAGAAAATTTGATCGGACCTTGTGCTAAAGACATCGCAATGTGTATGCTTGGAGAAAAAGTGACAAAAAATTGACCTTGTGCCCTCATCAAGCAGCACAGTGTCACGGAGAATTAACGAGTTGGCGAAGAGTGTTGAAAGTGAACTGTTGAAAAAAATAAAATTGAATTATTTTCCTACTCAGCTTGACGAGTCAACCGATGTTGCAAACTGTGCAATATTACTAGTATATGTTAGATATATTTTCAAGAATTCCATTCAAGGAGATGTGTTATTTTCAGAACCACTGGAAACTTATACGATTGGTGCAGCAATTTTTAATCTGATGACTATTTTGAAAAACATGAAATCAAGTGGTCATTTTGCTTAAGAAATCAATGACTGCAGCATATTCTGGTCTTGTGGCACGAATAAAGAAGATGAACGGGAATATAGAATGGACTCACTGCTGTATTCATAGGCAAGCATCGGCATGTAGGCGTACTCCTGCAGAGTTAGCCAGTACTTTGAGCGAAGCTGTAGAAGTTGCGAATTTTATAATGTCCCGTGCTACAAATTCTCGTCTATTCCGTGAATTCTGTGAGGAATTGGGAAGTATCCACGTCTCTTTATTACTTCGTACAGAAGTTAGGTAGCTTTCTCGTGGCAAAGTTTTGAACCGCTTGTTTGAATTGAAGTCTGAAGTTCAGGCATTTTTTCTGGACCATCCATTTCATTTGTCCGCTTCTGTATCCGACATTCTGTGACTTCAAAAAAACGCATACCTAGTCGATATTTTTTTAAATTGAATGAACTAAATATGTCTTAACAAGGTCCAGGAATCACCATTTTCAATGTTCATGATAGAATAGAAGCTATGCTAAAGATGTTAAACTTTTGGAATCAATGCCTACAGATCTGTGAGTACGATTGTTCTGGTTCTCTCAGCAGCTTTTTATCAGAGAATAAAATTCAACTTAACGAAAACATTAAAAGATATATTACTGAATATCTTAAACAGTTTCAATTAACGGTCAAATAGGATTATCCTAATAAACCTGGATCAAACAACTGGAGACTCAACCCTTTTGAAGGAGATATAATTTCTAACACTTCTTTATCTTTATTGGAGAAAGAAAAGCTCATTGATTTATTCTCTGACAATTTTCTAAAGGCTGTTTTTGCAGGTCATTCCTCAATAGACTTCTGGCTCAATGTAAAAAATCCTAACAGAAAGAACCATGAAAAATTTGTTGCCGTTCTGCACAGCGTATCTGTGTCAGAAATAATTCTCAACCTACACTTACCTCAAAGATGAGTAAAGAAATAGATTAAATGCAGAACCCGATCTAAGACTTAAACTTCCAGACATTGAACCAAATTTTGAATTTCTCTGTTCCAACAAACAGGCACAAATATCCTATTGAGGATTTTTACAAGGATCGAGTTACTTGTATTCATATTATATCAAGCCTTTTTTTTGTAACGTTTAGTTAGTTTTAATAACGTTTCTCTAAATGTTTTACGTTACAGTTATGTTTTAATTTATTTTGCTCATTATAACTATTATTCATATGATTAATAAATTTTGATAACAGCCAAACCGTACTGTTTTATTTACTCTCACTAACGACTGCTCAGGGAGTTTTCAGATATATTCCAATTTTTATAAGGGGTTCGCAGAAAGAACAAGGTTGAGAACCGCTGATTTAATAGAAACTAAACAGTGGCCTTTAGGACCAATCACAAAAATATAAAGCTGGCAACCGGCAACCTCGAGCAAAAGATCCGACTTCGCTGAAAAATCGTCTGTTTGAAATTCAAATTACTTATAACCTCAAATAACTGTCACTGTTACGTCATACACATGCGAATCCCGTTTAAAGCCTGTTCTTGTATCCCAAAGAGTCACCACTGCTTTTTCGCACTCTACCTCTTTCCCAATTTCATCGGGAAGGATATAGGTAGGCATTACGAATTATATTTAAGTAGTGCTGACTCTGCGTATTCGGAAGCACCATAAGTCGAGGAAAGATGAACTGTCAATCATGTTGACACTTAAGTGGCTTTACGCGGGTGATTCGAGGTTGGTGGGGGATAAGGTGCTATTTGCGATTATAGAGAATCTTCGCAGTTGAAAGAAAATTGGTAGAGAGGCAAGAAAATATAGGCGTGTGGAGGTGCAGTAGTAATAAGGGAGATGTTTAAAATAAATCGTCATCTTTATTGATTGTTAATTGGAGCTTGAATTACACGAGACGAATGTTTTCCGGTTCCGTTTTGTTGTCCTTAGTATACTGCCGCACAGTAACCTGGTGCAAATTTTCAAGCAATTCTTTCAAACAAATTACATAAAAATACTTTTGCTACGGACAATGCCTTTCAGACTTTTAGATCCTTCTGAACAAAAAAATATCAGGTCAAAACACAATGAGATCCAGAAAAGAAGACAGCCAACCATGGAAAGCTGTTTCGTGCTTCTTAGCTACTCATCAGCATGATATAGGCTTGGTCTCTTATCTCTGGATGAACAAGCGAAAGCATCACATTGATCCTCTGATGCGATAGATCTTGCGCTAAAATAATATCATTCCTTGAAAGATTACCGTTTTCGAGTTATAAGCGATTTGGGCCCGACTTTTCTTTTCGGAGCACAAATTCAACCAATCCAAAAGAAGGATCCTTGTGACCTAGTCGCAAATTCGACCAGTCAAAATGATATGTGCTCATCTCGAAACATTGCTCAAACCTGTTAAAATATCTCTGGTATGACACCAACTACTGAGCGTTTTATTGAAAATAATAGGGCTACTGTTTATATGAGAGAGATAATTTAAAAAAGATAGCTTTTTGCATTATATCAGATTTATCTAAACTTTAAAGCTTTATCAGAAATTCGTAATCGGTATTTTTGTTAATTTTAGATTTGACCAGATGAAAAGTTAACACATAAAGATTTGGAAAGACGTATTCTTTGGTAGTCAAGTGAATTAAATATTTACCCGATGTTTGTTGAGTAATAAGCATTATATCATATATTATACAGAGAAATTCATATACCTCTCACAACGTAATGTGTACGAGCGAGAAGCGTGGAATACGTATGCTAGAATGAGAGACACATTTGCGGCTTGCCACGTGGCTATTGGCGCACCCTTTCTAACATACATATACATATCGCGCTTCTCTCTCGTACACATTACATCGTATACCGTACATAGTAATATTTGAAATGCTCTGTATGTCTTCACAAAAGTTATTGAGTAGAATTTCGTACTGCAATGACAACATTGTGTCATTATTGTCACCAGGCAGAGAAAAACATATTTACAATGGAAGTTAGTTCAAGAATTGTTGAAATCTTCACCTAATTAGCAATCGAAATTGCGAAATTATGGGAAATCTCAAAACTGGAGATAATACAGATCAAAATATGTAAATTGATGAAGTTGATAGTTTGCGAGATACAGGGTGTCAAAGCTACAATTTTATTTTCTATTTTTCCGTATTGCTTGTGAAGTACTTCAGATTTTGGCATAAAGTTCGGTATAGGGAGCTCTTCCAGTATGAGAATAGGAATCCGTCATTTTCTTAACTTTTTTGTGCTACCCTGTATACAACAACTGACCAAAAAATCTAATTTTTTCGTATTTCCACAACAAAAAAGGTTTACTTGTTAGAACTGTATAAATCTAATAGTTTTTGAGTTATGTGTTTTCAAAAGTTCCAATGCATTATGTCCATGATGATAAAACATTGTAACATAATAGAGATGCTTTGGATAATATCTGAGTAGCGTTGCAATGGTTTTTAACAATAACAGATGACGATGGCAACAAAACCAATAAACGGAAATAATAACTATAAAAAATGTTCAAAATGAGCACCACCTTGCGTAACACACTTTCGAGCTCGACGAACTTAATCCTTGCTGCATTCTCCAAAGCATTTGGACGTCATTTTTCATTTCCTGGCTATGGTGGAAAAAATTCTTTGTCGAAGATCATCCACAGTTTCCACCGGCGTATTATGAACGCGTCGTTTTAAATCACCCCAGAAGAAGAAATCCATAGGATTTAAATCTGGTGATCTAGCCGGTCACGACAGAGGTCCTGATGAGCCTATCCACAGGTCTGGATAAACCCTATTTAGGTGCTCTCTATCATATTCATGCGTGTCTGTAATGGAAGACCTTCCAGC